TTAAATATTTGGAATTAAGAGTCTAACAATGACCACGAATCCATTGCCAGTTGGCAGGAAAAACCCACCTGGTTCAGTAATGCCCGTTAGGGACGGAAACTGCCATCCTTACCTGGTCTGGCCTACATGTGACTCCAGACCCACAGCAATGCGGTTGACTCTTAACTGCCTTCTGGGCAATTAGAGTTGGGCAATAAATGCTGCCCAGCCAGCGATGCCCTTATCCTGTGAATGAATAAAGGAAAAGAAAACCCATGCCTCTCCTCTACCTACCAAAGTGCATAACCTCACACTTCCCCACATTGTATTGCATTTGCCAACAGTGTCCCAGCTGGACAGAAACAGACCAGTTAGGGACAATGTTCATTCTGAAGCACAGTGTTCCGTACCCCAACCAGCATGTTGTCAGAGCCCTTTATATCATGTTGAGAGAATTTAATTAATTGAAGAATGGTATCTGTGGTGCTGGGGACCTCAGGAGGAGGCCAGGATGAATTATCCATTCTCTTTTCCATTTCCTAGGTGAACCTGGCAAGGCTTGGTAGGATCTGTGATTTTCAAACATTTCTCATTTCCAGCAACCCATGATTTGTAAGTGCAAATCTCCATTTGAACTCTCCAGGGCAGATCTGCTTTTCTTAACAGCTTGTTGGGGTGGAAACCCTCAATACAAAATTGTTCAATTGCATAATGGATGAAAAATTGTGAGCAATGTTTTGTTCATTCAGAGTACAGCGTCATAGCATGGGTACTACACAGGACGAGAACATTCAGCCCAGCCAGTCGATGCAAGCTCTGTGCAAATACCAAGTAGGAATGATTGCTGTGCTAGCAAAGCAGTGAAGATGGAAGGTAGGATCAATGATTTAATCATTTCTTCTCATTTATCACATTTTAGTATTTAACTAGAGGCTGCAGATCATGATGTTTGGTCTATGTATGAAACAGAGACCCTGACTTAATGGGCAATGTGCCACATTGACTAAGGAGGTTCTCGGTTTGACTCCTAATGAGAAGTAAATTCATTGATCGATAGCAGGGATGCAATTAACCAGAGAGAATTATGAAGTAAAGCTACAGCCACTGATTTTAGAGCTCACTGTTCAGTAACTCCTGTTTGTTGGTACATGTACTGTACTTTGGTGAGTCAAAGCATCTGAGTCAATTGCAGCAGTCCCAATTGTCAAATGGTGGGGTCATATGGTCTATTCCTGCTGTTATGTTTAATTCCCTTAGCTTCGGAGAGATCATTGTGATACTATGTGTGCTATTGGACACCCTGCCTGCAACAAGAATGACAAACCTGCAATTACAAGCAACCTTTCAGAACCTCCAGGATAATGCAAAGTACTTCACAGGTAAATCACGACTCTTACCTTTAAATGTAGCCACTCTTGTAAGACAGAAAACATGATAGCCAATTTGAACACAACAAGCTCCCACAAGCAGAATGATTGAAAGGGTGTTGAAATGCATTGAAAGAAGGAGCAATAAGCATGATTTTTTTAGGGCCTATGACCAAATGTCATAAGAGGTTGTGAATCAATATAAAACAGCATTAGGAAGCAAAGTTGATGAAAATATATGTATGGTTTGGACTAATCTGAAGGATTGTTATTTAAAATGAACATTCTTCAAATGGGACCAGAAATTAACAGATGCTTGTTCACATAAATGTAAGGATGACACAAAATTGAAAGAAAAGAAACATACAATGTGCCAAGATCGTGGTTATTCCAGAGAACTTGGAAAGTTTTAAAAATCAATAAAAAGGTAGAAGATAAACTTTGAGGACAAACTTGCAAGTAATGTCAAAACAGACAGCAGGAGTTTCTAAAAGGAGGTCAAAGTTCACTTAGGCCCTTGAGAGAACAAAGTTGAGGAAATAATAAGGGGAACTAGGAAATTGCACAGGAGTTGAATAAATATTTTGCATCAATCTTCACACTAGAAGGCACAACTAGAATTCCACAAACACTCAACAGTCAAGGGGCAAAATGGGAAATTACAGTAACTTCACTAGTGTAAAGGTATTCAGGAAACTAATGAGGCTAAAAACCAATAAGTCCCCTGAACCAGAGGATACATCCTAGGATATTAAAGGAAGTACCTACAATGTTGGTGGTTGTACTATTCCAAGAATCCTTAGATTCTGGAAAAATTCCAGAGGACTGGAAAATTGCTAATGTAACATCTCCATTTAAAAAGGGAAAGAGACAAAAGAAATCATATGACTATAAGACACTTAGCTTAAAAACTGTTATTGGGAAAATATTAGAATCTATCATACGGTAGTAATGGAAGAGCATTTTGAAATATATATGATCAAGCAGAGTAAACATAGCTTCATGAAGGTGAAATTGTGACTGACAAATTAATTAGAATATTTTGAGGAGGTAACAAGCAGAATGGACAAAGGGAAAGCAGAGGATGTAATGTATTTAGATTTCCAGATGGAATTTGATGTGGTTCAGTGGTTGGTACTGCTGCCTCACAGTTGCAGGGGACCAGGTTTGATTCCATCCTTCCATGAATGTCTACACATTCTCCTTGTGGCTGTGTGGGTTTCCTCCAGCTGCTCTGGTTTCCTCCCACAGTCCAAAGATATGCAGTTTACTTGGGTTGGCCATACTAAACTGCCTATAGTGTCCAGGGATATGTAGGCTAGGTGTATTAGCCATGGGAAATACAAGGGATAGTGTAGGGGTGTGGGTCTAGGGAACAACTGTTTTCTGTTCACCCTGTCTATGCCCCTTATAATGCTTTAAACCTCAATCAGGTCCCTTTCTCAGCCTTCTCTGCTCTATAGAAAACAATCTGAACTTATCTAGCCCTTTTTCAATACTGCAATCTAGGTAACATCCTAGTAATTGATTGAGAGGGTAGATGCAGAAAGGTATGTTCCCTGTGGGAGAAGCTAGGACCAGAAGGCAGCATCTCAGAATAATGTATCACCCAATTAGGACAGAGATCTGGAAGAATTTCTTCTCTCAAAGGATGGTGAATCTGTGGAATTCTTTACTGCAGAGGCATGTTGAGGTTGGGTCAAAATGTCTATTCAAGGCTGAGATAGACAGATTTTTAATTGGTAAGGAGATCAAGGGAAAGGGCAAGAAAGTGGAACTGGGGATTATCAGATCAGCCATGAATGGAGGGTCAGTCTCGATGGGCTGAATAGCCTACTTTTGCTCCTACTTCTTATGGTTTTATGTATGAATTGGATTCCCAAAGAAGCACAACAAATTAAAAAATCAAATCAGCACTTGAATGGAAACAAAATATTAGTTATATAACTATAAGCAGCAAAGATCATATACTCTGTAAAATGTAGCAGTCCCTTGCTGTGTGTCTGGGTGGCTGGGAAAGAGACTTGTGACCTGCCAAGGACAGCCAGGATTGAATAGTGGTGAAATGTCTATTCCACAGACCGAGTCAGAAGATGCATTATATCATACTAGGAGACTTTATTTCAAATTGACAGCATATTCTAAAGTGCTATTGTTCTGCTCTCTCAACCTCTAACTGTCAGTATGTGCTCCTAGTACAGTAGCTTAATTGAAAACCCTTATTTATAAATAGTGTCAGTGAATTCATGCTTGCAAACTGTAAGGCCTGCTGTCATAGTAACCAGCTGAAAGTGCTGGATGCTTTAGCAAAATTAAAACATTGGTATTGTCGTGCTGCTGATCAAAATTAGGCTCATCTCAAACTCTCTCTTCCCTTTAAAGAGGTTTCCCCTTGATCTAGTCTTCTCTGCAAAGTCTCATTTGAACATATGGATTTAGACCATCTCTTTGTACTTATGTCATTTTATTCCCTGTTATGATTTCCTATTTCTTTCTTTTGTTTTAGAATCACAGAATCCCTACAGTGTGGAAATAGGCTAATTGGCCCAACAAGTCCACACCACTCCTCCAAAGATCATCCCCCTTTCCTGTAGCCCTGCATTTCCCATGGCCAATCTACTTAACCTGCACATCTTCGGACTGTTGGGAGGAAACCGGAACACCCAGCAGAAACCCAAGCAGACACGGGGAGAATGTGCAAACTCCACACAAACTCCAAGGGTGGAATCGAACCTGGGTCCCTGGCGCTGTGAGGCAGCAGTGCTAACCTGTGACTCACCATGCTGCCTTTTTCTCTCTCTCTCTCTTTCTCTCTCTCTCTCTCTCTCTCTCTCACACACGCACACACCCTCTTTCTCTCACTCTCCACACTCTCTCTTGCTCTCTCTCTCATTCTCTGTCTCGCTCTCTCTTTCACTCTCCTCTCTCTCCCTCTCTCTCTCACCTCCTCCTCCTCTATATCTGTCCTTTTCTCCATGGGGGAGCAGGATGGTGGACAACACCAGTTTACTGTCCTGCCGAAGAAACACAGCAGAGTCCCAAAGCATTTTCACACTTGCCTTCCATTTACATTCAATGAGCAATCCAGTGTCCCTAAGCTAACATAGGTCTGTACAAAAACAGATTGTTGACAATTTGTTTACGACTTTGTTTGCTAGAACAGGTTTTATTTAATATTTGAAAACACATTATTTTGTTATAACCTGTATATGTTTGTCATATCGATATAAACTTCAGTTGCTGCCTTTTAGTGGTAACTAAATATCAGAAACACTCAGGGTAGTTGTTCACTGTGAAGAGAAAGAACTAGTAGCATTTGAAGATTTTGAACAAATTACAATTTGTAATTTTTAATGACATTTAAGTTTGCCCCTGCTTAAGCAATGTTAGCAGTACTTGATGTTTTGCCATGAAGATTATTCCCTTGTTGTTGGTTTTATGTTACACTTCACACTCTCGTTTGCTACAGTTTATAGACAAGGTTGCAGGGCAGAGTTGGAAAATGGTCTCAAAAATACCCGTCAATAGCTTAAATCTGTGAATTGAACTGTTGGTTCATTTTGCAGTGTTGCTCAGTGTCGCTTGATTCATAAGCTGTTGAAAATAAGTATCATCCTCCAAGGACAGTGTTCCCTTTGTTCTTTTGAAGTCAGTTCACAAGTTCCATCCCAGTACAACATGAACAACGAGGAGGTAGCACATCCCAATAGTTGTGGAAACAAGCATCATCGGAAAGCCCAGTCTGAAAGGAAATTAAGGACAGGAAAATAATTAATGACAAGAAATGTGAAAATTTAGTGCAATATGGGACACCTCTAGATGAGGACTTGTTCAACAAGTAAGCCACACTTGTATGGACACAAGTACCCAAATGCCTATCGTATTTTGGGAACCAGGAATACAATAAATCTGGATGAATAGCAGGAGATAAGAAAGCTGCCTGGAGACAAAAGTAATTAGATCCACTGCAGAAATGAAACATTTCCCCAGAGTAGTAACGGAAATAAAAATTGTTGTGTACATATAATGTGACCAATGTCAACGAAGCTAGTTTCAGATCCAAAGGATAAGTTGACATTTTATGTTTTTACACGTATTATTTCATTTTTAAAGGTAGTGATGAATATTGGTCAAAAATAAGAAGAAAGCATATGTCAGGTATAGACAGCAGAGATCGAATGAATCTCTGGAAGAGAATAAAGGCAGTAGGAGTATATTTAAGAAGGAAATCAGGAGGGCAAAACAGGGACATGAAATAGCTTTAGCAAATAAAGTTAAGGAGAATCCAAAGGGATTCTACAAATACATTAAGGAAAAAAGGGTAACTAGTGAGGGAATAGGGCCCCTTAAAGATCGATTGGGTAGGTGATGGCTGAGTGGTATTATCACGACACTATTAATCCAGCTAATGCCCTGAGGAACCTGGGTTCGAGTCCCAGCAGGGCAGATGGAATTTGAATTCAATAAAAAATGGTCTGGAACTAAGGATCTAATAATGACTGTGAATCCATTGCCGATTGTCAGGAAAAATCCATCTAGTTCACTAATGCACTTTAGGGAAGGAAACTGCCATCCTCAATTGTAACATTTGACTCCAGAATCAGAGCAATGTGGTTGACTCGCAATTACATAGAACATAGAACATAGAACATTACAGCGCAGTACAGGCCCTTCGGCCCTCGATGTTGCGCCGACCTGTGAAAACCAATCTGAAGCCCATCTAACCTAAACTATTCCATTATCATCCATATGTTTATCCAATGACCATTTAAATGCCCTTAAAGTGGGCGAGTGTACTATTTTTGCAGGCAGGGCATTCCACGCCCTTACTACTCTCTGAGTAAAGAACCTACCTCTGACATCTGTCCTATATCTATCACCCCTCAATTTAAAGCTATGTCCCCTCATGCTAGCCATCACCATCCGAGGAAAAAGGCTCCCACTGTCCACCCTATCTAATCCTCTGATGATCTTGTATGTCTCTATCAAGTCACCTCTTAACCTTCTTACCCTCTGAAATGGCCTAGCAAGCCACTCAGTTGTACCAATCGCTACAAAGACTCAAAGAAATGAAACCAGATGGATCACCTGGCATCGACCCAGGCACCAGAAAAGACAACGGCAGAAACAGTCCTGTCGATCCTGCAAAGTCCCCCTCACTAACATCTGGGAGCTAGTTCCAAAATTGGGAGAGCTGTCTCACAGACTAGTCAAGCAACAGCCTGACATAGTCATACTCACAGAATCATACCTTACAGACAATGTCCCAGACACCACCTTCACCATCCCTGGATATGTACTGTTTCACCGGCAGGACAGACCCAATAGAGGTGGTGGCACCGTGGAATACAGTCAGGAGGGAGTTGCTCTGGGAGTCCTCAATATTGATTCTGGACCCTATGAAGTTTCATGGCTTCAGGTTAAACATTGAGCAAGGAAACCTCCTGCTAATTACCACGTACCATCCTCCCTCAGCTAATGAATCAGTACTTCTCCATATTGAACAACACTTGGAGGAAGGTCAGAGGGTGGCAAGGGCACAAAATGTACTCTGGGTGGGGGATTTCAATGTCCACCACCAAGATTGCTTGGCAGCAGTACTACTGATCAAGCTGGTCGGGTTCTAAAGGATATAGCTACTAGACTGGGTCTGTGGCAGATGGCGAGGGAATCACCAAAAGGGAAAAACATACTTGACCTCATCTTTACTAATCTGCCAGCTGCAGTTGCATCTGTACACGACAGTATCGGTAAGAGTGACCATCACCTTCACATTGAGAGTAACTTCCATCGTGCTGTGTGGCACTATCACCGTGCTAAATGGGACAGACTTCAAACAGATCTAGCAACTCAACACTGGGCATCCATGAGGCTCTGTGGGCCATCAACAGCAGCAGAATTGTACTCCAGCACAATCTGTAACCTCATGGCCCGGCATATCCCCCACTCAACAATTACCATCAAGTCAGGGGATCAACCCTGAAGAGTGCAGGAGGGCATGCCAGGGGCAGCACCACGCATGCCTGAAGATAAGGTGTCAACCTGGTAAAGCCACCAAACAGGACTACTTGCACGCCAAACAGTGAAAGCAGCAAGTGATAGACAGACTTAAGCGATCCCACAACCAATGGATCAGATCTAAGCTCTGCAGTCCTGCCACATCCAGTCGTGAATGGTGGTGGTCAATTAAACAACTCACTGGAGGAGGAGGCTCCACAAATATCCCCATCCTCAACGATGGAAGAGCCCACTACATCAGTGCAAAAGATAAGGCTGAAGCTTTTGCAGCAATCTTCAGCCAGAAGTGCCGAGTGGATGATCCATCTCAGCCTCCTCCAGTGGTCTCCAACATTACAGATACCAGTCTTCAGCCAATTTGATTCACTCCACATTATATCAAGAAACAGTTGGAGACACTGGATACTGCAAAGGCTATGGGCCCTGATTTCATTCTGGCAATAGCACTGAAGACTTGAATTCCAGAACTTGCCGCTCCCCTAGCTAAGCTGTTCCAGTACAGTGACAACACTGGTGTCTACCCAGCAATGTAGAAAATTGCCCAAGTATGTCCTATTCACACAAAGCAGGACAAATCCAAACCGGCCAATTACTGCCCCATCAGTCTACTCTCGATCATCAGTAAAGTGATGGAAGGTGTCAACAACAATGCTATCAAGCAACACCTGCTCTGAAGTAACCTGCTCAGTTTGGGTTCTGCCAGGGCGATTCAGCTCCTGACCTCATTACAGCCTTGGTTCCAACGTGGACAAAGAGTTGAATTCCAGAGGTGAGGTGAGAATGACAGCCCTTGACATCAAGGCTGCATTTGACCAAATGTGGCATCAACGAGCCTTAGCAAAACTGGAATCAATGGGTATTAGGGGCAAGCAGTCTGGTGGTTGAAGTCATACCTGACACATAGGAAGATGGTTATGGTTGCTGGGGGTCAATCATCTCAGATCCAGGACAGCTCTGCAGGAGTTCCTCAGGGTAGTGTCCTCGGCCCAACCATCTTCAGCTGCTTCATCAATTACCCTCCCTCCATCATAAGGTCAGAAGTGGGGATGTTTGCCAATGATTGCACAATGTTCAGCATGATTTGCGACTCCTCAGATACTGAAGCAGTCCATGTTCAAATGCAACAAGATCTGGACAATATCCAGGCTTGGGCTGACAAGTGGCAAGTGACATTCATGCCACACAAATGCCAGTCTATGACCACCACCAATAAAGGACAATCTAACTACCACCCCTTGACATTCAATGGTGTTACCATCACTGAATACCCGACTATCAACATCCTGGGTATTATCATTGACCAGAAACTCAACTGGACTCACCACATAAACACAGTGGCTACAAGAGCAGGCCAGAAGCTGGGAATGCTGTGACGAGTAACTCCCCTCCTGACCCCTCAAAGCCTGTCCACCACCTACAAGGCATAAGTCAGGAGTGTGATGGAATACCCCAACTTGCCTGGATGGGTGTGGCTCCAGCAACACTCAAGAAGCTTGACACCATCCAGGACAAAGCAGCCCGCTTGATTGGCACCACATCCACAAGCATCCACTCCCTCCACCACCGACGCTCAGTAACAGCAGTATGTACTATCTGCAAGATGCACGCAGAAGTTTACCGTAAAGATCCTCAGACAGCACCTATCAAACCCACAACCACTTCCATGTAGAAGGACGAGGGCAGCAGACCTATGGGAACAGCACCACCTCCAAGTTCCTCTCCAAGCCACTCACCATTCTGACTTGGAAATATATCGCCTCTCTTTCAAAATCCTGGAATTCCGTCCCTCATGGCATTGAGGGTCAACCCAAAACAGTGGACTGCAGTGGTTCAATAAGCCAGCTCACCACCACCTTCTCAACGGCAACTAGGGATGGGCAAGAAATGCTGGCCAGCCAGTGACGCCCACATCCCACGAATGAATAGAGAAAAAAAGGCTGCCTATGTGTGGAACCGCAGGAGATGGGGGAGATACTAAACGAGTATTTTGTATCAGTGTTTACTGTGGAGAAGGATATGGAAGATAGAGAACATGGGGAAATAACAGCGACATCTTGAAAAATGTTCGTATTACAGAGGAGGATGTGCTGAACGTCTTATAACGCATAAAGGTGGACAATTCTATAGCACCTGATCAGGTGTACCCTAGAACTCCGTGGAATGCAAAGGAAGAGATTGCTGGGTCCCTTGCTGAGATATTTGTATCATCAATAGCCACAGGTGAGGTGCTGGAAGACTGGAGATTGGCTAACATGGTGCCACTATTTAAGAAAAGTGGTAAGGAAAAGCCAGGGAACTGTAGACTGGAGAGTCTGACATTGGTGGTGTGCACATTATTGGAGAGAATCCTGAGGAACAGTATTTACATGTATTTGGAAAGGCAAGAACTGATTAGGGACAGTCAGCATGGCTTTGTATGTGTCTCACTAACCTGATTGAGATTTTTGAAGAAGTAACAAAGAGGATTGATGAGGGCAGAGCAGTGGATATGATCTATATGGACTTCAATAAGGCGTTCAACAAGGTTCCTCATGGTAGACTGGTTAGCAAGGTTAGATCACATGGAATACAGGAAGAATACATGGATACAGAACTGGCTTGAAGGTAGGAGACAGAGGGTGGTTGTGGAGGATTGCTTTTCAGACTGGAGGCCTGTAACCAGCGGTGTGCAACCAGAATCGGTGCTGGGTCCACTGCTTTTTGGCATTTATATAAATGATTTGG